AGCCATCTTAGTAGTTGAGTATTATGAAATCTATCACCCATGACTACTGAAATGAAAAGTTTTAACTCATAATTTTGCATAAACATTGCACCATCACATGTACGCTTCAGTTGAAATGCATCAATTTTAAACATTCATTAATGGCAATGTAAAGCTCAGGAAATATACAAAATGTATCCTTTCTAAATTATTTTATTTCTATGTTTACTTCACTTTAAGAAAAGGAAAACTTAGCTGGTATTTCAAATTGATACAAGAATACAAGGACAGCATTTTTCATACTTTATAACTCAGTACCATAATTGATACCATATTTCTACCATTTTCACACTGTTAGAGGAGCTGAAATGCTGTCAGAGTAGTCTGTCATTCTTCAAATAAAATATGTTAAAAATAAAACAGACATCAGTGTGACCGTCCACTTTTGTTTGTTTGTTTTCCTGTAAAAATGGCGTTGCTTTAAGCAGCATATTCTTTGAAACAGAATGGTCCCTCTGGTCTGCATATCAAGACAGCTTAAAATTCTCTATCAACTTCTATCTAAATATTGAACTTTTTATTTTAAATACTTTGAAACAGTATCTAGTGCACATTAGAACTGGAAAACAGTCCATGTTAGCCATTTAACAAATTATGAGAATAAATCAGGTAACATATAAATGAAAGCATTATGAAGTTCATAAAGATAAAACACAAGGTACTGTGCAATGCAAAATGTAGACAAAAAAGGGGAAAAAAATGGGATTTTAAGGCAGAAAGGGGAAGGATCAGAAGGGAAGGAGGACATCAAGGAGGGAGAGATGTTAGCACAGACAGGAAAGGAGACAGAGGGACCATAAAAGATCATCAAAAATCATAGAATCATAGAAGAATTGAGGGACCATAAAAGATCATCAAAAATCATAAAATCATTGAATTGTATAGGTTGGAAGGGACCTTCAAGATCATCTAGTCCCAAACAGTTTTGAAGCAGAAATTGACTACGGGAAACAATTTACACCTTGGTGCCCTCAACACTTCCCACAGAAAGCAGGCTCACATCCATACTGCCAGCATCTCTGCCTGGCAGGATTCCCAGCTCTCTAGGGATCCAGGAAGCTGTTTCCCTAGGAATTCTGCCCAGAGCACCAAAAAAACACTGAGTGCCCAGTGTCTGAAGGGCAGAGTTTTATGCTGGTGATACAAGTTACTAAATTTTTTTGTTTTGTTGCTAGAAAGACACAACATCCTTTCTTCGTCTGCAGTTACTTACATGTGAGAGACAGGCTTCTCCTACCTAATAGATACATTATAATTCTCCACATCGTACTTACCCTTCTGTAAATTAGTTCCAATTTGAGTTCACTTTGTCCCATCATTTAGTTAAAAGTAGAAAGATGTGGTTTCTGCCGTACCTTTTTATACAAAATTAAATCTTCATATCTGTAGTAGTAATACTTCATTTTGTATGTTATAATAATATCATAATCCTTACTGTAAATTAGTATCTTCTGTCAGATCAAAGCATGTAGCCAAGGGAAATGGAACAAAAATCCTTCTTTCAATCCATATTTCTGTGTGCTTGGAATTTTAACTAATTTTCCACTCATGTCAACGGGTCTAAGACGCTACTTTTTCTTACAAGTCTTGTCTTGTTCTCAGACCACCATGGCCACGGGAATACTATTAGAGTGTCCCAGTAATCTATTTCTCTTCTTCATGACCAAACCACAATGATGCTTTGCAATCATCTTGTGATCAACTACCACACACAGCAATTTATCTAACAACAGCGCTAATCCCAGGAGACACCACCATGTACTCTGCACTGGTGTCTTTCATCCATTGCCATTTACTGTTGTCCATTGTCATATTTTTCCAGTATAATATTAATAATAATCCAAATAAGATTTTTCTCCATGTTAGCAACAACTTCCAGATTTCCTTTAGTGAGTAGATTCTATCAATATTCATTTACTACTTTTGACACGGTTATTAGCAAAAATACTAATGAGATTAGTCTCAAGACTGGATCTAGATACACTGTTTTAACCTGAATACCTTCTCTCTCAGGACCCATTGCACCTTACTAAAAAAAGTTATGTTGCTCATCTGAAGGAAACTGAGCCCTTTTGTGAATGGGGAGCCCTGGTCTCGGTAACACATCTCTAAAAACTCAACTGGCCTTTGACCCCAGAAAGTGTGGAGTTCCTATAAAACTAATCCTTTCAGCCTCTTGACTTTTTCATTATTCTCATGTTCTGGCTGCCTCTTCCCAGAACAGCAAAGCGGGGGCTTTTTAACTCCTCTGCTACAAAGGAAGAATAACTAGGTCATTTTAAAAAAAAATAGTTCATTTGATTAGTCCTTCTTCCATAGCTTTTTTTTTTTTTTTTCCACTGCATTTTGATGCCTGGTTTTAAGCTACTGAAGCTTCTCAGGAGTAGAGTCTTGGGTGCATGATCAGCTTTTTAACCATTTCTCTTTAATTTGCTGTAGAGTCACTATCGCTTAAAGCATACTATAAGCCTTATTCAAATTAAAAATTCTGCAGTTTTAAGCCTGCTGTATATAAATGGCATTATATGGTTACAGAAACAGTATTTAAGATTTTTTCTGAGAGGTGTCATTGTCATTTCAGAATAATACAAACCATTATGAGATCTCACTAGTAAGCAGAAATTTCTGTGACAAGTATGGAACAAGTTAATTACTTGCTCTTAACTATTTTTTCACATTCCTCTGAATTAATGTTAGCAAAATTATGTACTGTGAATGACAAAAATGAAATTCACCTAGTGACAAAATCTGCCAGCAGAAAGAGAGCGCACTTTGCTCTCAGCTTTAAATATTTGTCTATTATCTGACAGAATAGCCACATGCAACATTAATTATTAAGTGTCATCTCAGTGGAAAGCTACGAAATAAAAGATACTGCTCCTTTGCATAACAAAAGCAAAAGAAATCAAATTATGATTACTTACTTGATTAAGTATATCTTGTTTCTGTAATGCATGCAAGGAAAGAAAGAACATACATATATTAGTGCAGTGTCGTTAACACTCAGGCTGTGCTTTTATAATAGAACTATTTTTGTTGAAAGGTTAGTGATGTAGATGGACAGGTTTAAGACATTCGATAGAATATCCCATTTTCTTGCATATGTCAAGAAAATGGTTCTAAGTCAGCATTCTAGTCTTGATTAGAGTGCAAGCAATTTGTTTTTAACCATGCAATGACAGATAACCAAGGAAAAAAAAAGTAAATAAATGTTTTCCTTTCATCCCCGTATATACTTTAAAAAAAAACCAAAACAAAACAAAACCAAAACCGTAAAAATTTACTTGTTGCAAAGAACAGTTGTTAACAAAACAACTTAATCAGAAGTGAATACAATGAAAAATTCCATAAATACATTAACAACAAAAGGAGGGCTAAGGACTATCTCCATCCTTTATTGGATATGGGGCAGAAACATAGTGACAAAGGATGAAGAAAAGGCTGAGGCATTTAACATCTTTGTCTCAGTCTTTACCAGTAAGACCAGTTGTTCTCAGGGCACTCAGCCCCCTGAGCTGAAAGACAGAAATAGGGAGCAGAACGAAGCCCTCCATAATACATGGGGAAATGGTTAGCTACACCATGTAGACACACAAAAATCTATAGGGCAGGATGGGATCCACCCAAGGGTACTGAGGGAACTTGTGAAGTGCTCACCAAGCTACTTTCCATAATTTATCAGCAGTCCTGGCTAACCTGGAAAGTCCCCGTTGTCTGGAGGTGAACTAATATGATACCCATAGATCCAGGGAACTATGGACATGTCAGTCTGACCTCAGTGCTGCAGGAAGTTGTGGAGCAGACCATCTTCAGATCCATCATATGGCATGTACAGGACAACCAGGCAATTAGGCCCGGTCAGCATGGGTTTATGAAAGGCAGGTCCTGCTTCACTAACCTGAGATGACTAGGTGAGCTGCTTAGTGGATGAGGGAAGGCTGTGGATGTTGTTTACCTGGACTTTAGTAAAGCCACAGCATTCTCCTGGAGAAACTGGCTGCTTATGGCTTGGATGGGTGTACTCTTTGTTGGGTAAAAAAATGGTTGGATGGCTGGACCCAAAGAGTTGTGATGAATGGTGTTAAATCCAGTTGACAAGAAATTTTGGTGCACTCCAACAGATCCCTCAAAAAGGATGACAACACTAGGACTACACGCACACAATGATGTGTTTAGATACAGTCTTCATCTGCTTTCCTAATTCTTGCTAGACTATTCAGTGCTTCTCTCAAAGTGAAATGGCTGAAATTAATTAATTTAAATAAATCTCAAATGATAAAAAGACTATTTATAAACTGCAGCTTTCCAGAAGGCTGATCTTAACTTGTCTGCGTATCTTACATCAGGTATAAAAATCTTTTTTTTTTTTTTTTCCACTGCATTTTGATGCCTGGTTTTAAGCTACTGAAGCTTCTCAGGAGTAGAGTCTTGGGTGCATGATCAGCTTTTTAACCATTTCTCTTTAATTTGCTGTAGAGTCACTATCGCTTAAAGCATACTATAAGCCTTATTCAAATTAAAAATTCTGCAGTTTTAAGCCTGCTGTATATAAATGGCATTATATGGTTACAGAAACAGTATTTAAGATTTTTTCTGAGAGGTGTCATTGTCATTTCAGAATAATACAAACCATTATGAGATCTCACTAGTAAGCAGAAATTTCTGTGACAAGTATGGAACAAGTTAATTACTTGCTCTTAACTATTTTTTCACATTCCTCTGAATTAATGTTAGCAAAATTATGTACTGTGAATGACAAAAATGAAATTCACCTAGTGACAAAATCTGCCAGCAGAAAGAGAGCGCACTTTGCTCTCAGCTTTAAATATTTGTCTATTATCTGACAGAATAGCCACATGCAACATTAATTATTAAGTGTCATCTCAGTGGAAAGCTACGAAATAAAAGATACTGCTCCTTTGCATAACAAAAGCAAAAGAAATCAAATTATGATTACTTACTTGATTAAGTATATCTTGTTTCTGTAATGCATGCAAGGAAAGAAAGAACATACATATATTAGTGCAGTGTCGTTAACACTCAGGCTGTGCTTTTATAATAGAACTATTTTTGTTGAAAGGTTAGTGATGTAGATGGACAGGTTTAAGACATTCGATAGAATATCCCATTTTCTTGCATATGTCAAGAAAATGGTTCTAAGTCAGCATTCTAGTCTTGATTAGAGTGCAAGCAATTTGTTTTTAACCATGCAATGACAGATAACCAAGGAAAAAAAAAGTAAATAAATGTTTTCCTTTCATCCCCGTATATACTTTAAAAAAAAACCAAAACAAAACAAAACCAAAACCGTAAAAATTTACTTGTTGCAAAGAACAGTTGTTAACAAAACAACTTAATCAGAAGTGAATACAATGAAAAATTCCATAAATACATTAACAACAAAAGGAGGGCTAAGGACTATCTCCATCCTTTATTGGATATGGGGCAGAAACATAGTGACAAAGGATGAAGAAAAGGCTGAGGCATTTAACATCTTTGTCTCAGTCTTTACCAGTAAGACCAGTTGTTCTCAGGGCACTCAGCCCCCTGAGCTGAAAGACAGAAATAGGGAGCAGAACGAAGCCCTCCATAATACATGGGGAAATGGTTAGCTACACCATGTAGACACACAAAAATCTATAGGGCAGGATGGGATCCACCCAAGGGTACTGAGGGAACTTGTGAAGTGCTCACCAAGCTACTTTCCATAATTTATCAGCAGTCCTGGCTAACCTGGAAAGTCCCCGTTGTCTGGAGGTGAACTAATATGATACCCATAGATCCAGGGAACTATGGACATGTCAGTCTGACCTCAGTGCTGCAGGAAGTTGTGGAGCAGACCATCTTCAGATCCATCATATGGCATGTACAGGACAACCAGGCAATTAGGCCCGGTCAGCATGGGTTTATGAAAGGCAGGTCCTGCTTCACTAACCTGAGATGACTAGGTGAGCTGCTTAGTGGATGAGGGAAGGCTGTGGATGTTGTTTACCTGGACTTTAGTAAAGCCACAGCATTCTCCTGGAGAAACTGGCTGCTTATGGCTTGGATGGGTGTACTCTTTGTTGGGTAAAAAAATGGTTGGATGGCTGGACCCAAAGAGTTGTGATGAATGGTGTTAAATCCAGTTGACAAGAAATTTTGGTGCACTCCAACAGATCCCTCAAAAAGGATGACAACACTAGGACTACACGCACACAATGATGTGTTTAGATACAGTCTTCATCTGCTTTCCTAATTCTTGCTAGACTATTCAGTGCTTCTCTCAAAGTGAAATGGCTGAAATTAATTAATTTAAATAAATCTCAAATGATAAAAAGACTATTTATAAACTGCAGCTTTCCAGAAGGCTGATCTTAACTTGTCTGCGTATCTTACATCAGGTATAAAAATCTATTCTTAATTACATATTTGACACTGACTTAGAGAAGGAGGTGGAAGGGCAGAGGTTCAGTAGCATTTGTAGAAGTTTTAGTCATCTCACTTACATTGAAAGCAGAGAGTAAAAGCTCCATAAATAAACTCCCAATACTGCATATCTTCTGATAATCAGATGCATCATTTCCACTAAGCCCCAAAACCACTCACTCGACAAGATATAACATAATGGAAAAACAAACCAGATGACTTCAGGTAACAAGCTTTGAATACCAATAGCTTTTCTTTTGCTGTTTGCGCCCCATTAAATCAGCTTGTGATAAAAAACTACAATATAGAAGCAATGGAGTAGAATAAATTCCTGAACCCTTAAGCAGGGAGAAGCTCAAAACAGGAAAGCATTTTCTTAAGTAGATAAATATATCACACTGCTAAATCTGCCATAAGTTCTATGCTTTTACTGGTAAGAAACTGACACCACCTTTGGTAGAATATTGACAAAGCTTGGAAAATACTTGGAGTACGTATGAGACACCGATCTAGGAAATAAGAGCTAAAATGGAAACATAATGGCATCCTCTACAAAACACAGCAACAAAACTGTAATGTCTATAATGTGGAAGTGAAAACCACACTATGACTGATTTCAGCTGGAGTGACTTTGTTAAAAGAGACTAATTTCACAATTTTAAGTACTGCTTTGTTTATACACAAACATCAATAGTTTGACCATGTGTTACCTACAGGCAACATGTTATTTTAATATGCATAAAAGGCACAATTAATTTGTACCTTAAAAGGTTACACTTCACAAAACTGAAAACAATGGATGATGACTGAAAATAAGTAGAGAATTTCAAGAAAAAAATAGAACAATAAATTAAGAGCATTTTATCACACACTAAGAGTACAAAGAAAACTGCAGAAGTTAAAAGCAAAATAAAACACCAAAAATAGCAAGCACTGAGTTTGTAAATCAACAGTTCATACTTTTCTAAAAAAAAAAAATAAATCAAAAACTTGTCTAGATTCTAAGAAAAATCAGTTAGGAGAGGTCTTACAGCCTGTGTTACACTGGAGAATAAATTAGATGATCAAAGCATTCCCATCCTTTTATAATCTATGATTCTATTTAAATAAAATAATGGACATTTCACATTACAGCTTACAAAATCAACTTATAATATTTTCCAGAGAAACTGACTAAAATGACCAACTTTATCCTTTGCAAAGTTCAAAGTGGCAAATAACTTTTCAATACTTAATGAGTTGCAACCACCTTACTTGACAATAATTCTTGTCTTTTACATCCTGAAATGTAAGATGAAGTAATTTTCATAATGGTTAGCACATTTTTCTATTTTGAATTCCACCTAATGCAAGTAGAGTTAGAAACATTACTATTAGAAACATTACTGAAACAGGTTTTTATTTAGCTCCACTTTGAATCACACTATTAGGATGTGCTAAGCAGTTAAAAATTGCAATTGAGGACAACAAAAGAAAACAATCTGCCTTTTTCTACCAGCCAACCCAGAATATTTTGTCTAGTACTGAGTCTGTATTGACAATGCAACCACACACACCTGGGTTTTTTTCAGCTGAACTCTTCCATAAAATCAGAAAAAAAATTTTCTCCTTTAAAAATGGGGATCCCGCCACCAGAAAAACAGAAGAGAAACATAATTTAAAAAGAAATCTTAACTGAACAGATTTTACTTTTCCAACTTTTGAAATTATGCTTAGTATTTCCAATTGTTAAAAAGAATTGGGAAGCACATTAACCTTATCGTAAGGGTGGGGGGGTTCCTTCTGTCTGTTTGTTTAAATCTTAGAAAAGAAAATGTGGTTTTATATATATTAGTAAGCAGGTCTATCTAATACAAAGTTTTTAAACTTCTAGTTCTTCAAATTACTCATACTTGTTTTTCAAAGAGTTTCAAATACCCCAAAGAGCTGATTTTAAAATAACCTTCTATTTCAAATGCTTAGATTTGCTACAATATTTGTAAATATTTCTCATCTCCATTTCTGACCATTGGAAGAAAGAAGAAGAATTACCCCTTCAGGATTATATTTTGCTAACACACCACTGCCATGGAACTCTTCTAAGACATCTTTAATTTTCTTGGTGGAATCTGTATGAAGAATAAAGAGAGAAAAAAATAAAATACAGAAAACCGATTAATATAATACAATTTATAATTCAAGAAACAACAACCAAACTGCTAATAGCTTTTCTCAATGCACATTAATTTTCTCTAGCTGCATGAGAGCTGTGGGCACAAAGAAAATGAGAACATACTATACCCTCTCACCAAATACTGTAAAAATCATCCAGTAAACACAAAATGCTCAGAAACAAACCCTCTGACCTGATGTTTAAACCATTGTTAAGTAGTGTATTTCTGAAAGAGTTGTTGGCAAGGATTATTTCAAGTCACTTTTCTTGTCCTTGAAACGTGAGTAATCTACAGAACACGGTCATTCCCAACAGCAATACTAAATCTCCTCTGGCGCAGCTGCCAGTGAGTAGAGGAACTGTCAGAGGAGCCAGACAATATCAAGATAAAGGGGGAACTTGAAGAAAAAAAAATAATCACGTCACAGAAAACAAATGTTGCTATCGAAACCTCAATTTTTACAGACCTCCAAGATATTCTAACCACTGTCAGCTACAGTAACTTCAGGACAGCTTTGGTCTAACAGAATTCTGCAAAATCCCTGCAGTTCAGAAGCACAAAGGTCTAACTTTTCCAATTCGCTTTTATTTTTCTATGTGCAGAACAACAGTTATTTCAATGTGGTGACTACGTAAAACCCTTAAACTCATATTCACTTGGAATACATCATACACATAACCATCTTTTCCACCTTAAATATCTCAGCAATACAACAAAAATAATTGTAACCCAATTTTTCCTTTAAAATGCAATAGTTGAGTGCATAATGGTCAAATGTGCATAATGGCCACAACACTGAAGTAAACCAAGAACTAGTAATGAGTAGCAGACAGATGCATTACAGAAGAAAACAGGTAAACTTAATGGCTGCATATTTATCATATTTATTTCTACAACAAAACCTGGAAGGAAAGGACAAAAGCAAAGAATGCACCAAAAACAGGACTATCACATTTAAAATTACAAACATTAGGACCTAGTCTTACTGATTTTTTTAATTATATCAACAAAACATAACATTGCAGTAGTTCTTACAAGCTAAAGAAATTCAGCACCTTAAACCTGACTCAAAAACATACATTTAGTAAATTCTGTGACCTGGAAGGAGAAAATGTAGTTACAAACTATTTGAAAAATAGCTTTATAACAGTTCATAACACCTATGAACAGGACACAAAATTCAGTTTTAAGAGGTGCTGGAGGAGTTTTGTTTTGTTTGCTTGTTTGTTTTTTCTCCACACACCCATACACAGTTTAGATTGTAGTAAGAATGGCTTTTACCAATGTTCGTAATTCTTTTCTTAAATGAAAACACTTGAAACTATGTGTGGACTCCATAATACAGTTTATTTTCACTAATCAGATGCATTTCAATGTCAACTGTAAGGAACGGAGTTTAGGTGCTCTCATGGGCAGTCACAGCAAATATTTACTCTATAAAGCCATTTAAAGTCTTATTGTTGTGTCATTTGAAATTCAGTAAATAATGACAACTACGGGAAAAAGTCAAAAAACTATGAAAAAGAATAAATCAATATGTTAAGAAATAAATTTTATTAAGAATTGTAATTAGAAACAGATGGATTAGATATTTACTGATTAGGACAAGTACACAAATTAATGACCAACAAAAATTTCTCTTTTACTTGGTCTCTATTATTTCAATATGTTTCTCAATAGTCATATACAAAGTTGTATATAAAAATCATTGCATCTTATGACAATGAAGTCAGTAACTATGAAAGCAGCAGTGTGAGATGAGCAGACGTATGACAGAGGTGAGTGATCCTCATTCTAAAAAAGGATTTTTCTGAACTCTGGAGGAAAGAGGTTAAACACACATCAAACAGAAAGACAGCAAGGTCTCCTCACAAACCTTTTATTATCCAAAGAAAATAATAAATAAGTAAATAAAATAAAACCGTCTCACTTTCTAGTAGTTCTAGAAGTGTCTAGAGGTCTTCTCCCAGCAATTACCATTGCCAGATAAAATCTATTCATTTTTAAATGAGTATTATGCCTATGAAATTGTAATTAAAATGAAAAAGCTGTGTTGTGTTACATATTAAAAACAAATTAAATCTTTTGTTCATACTTAGTCAAGTATCAATAAGATAGAAAATATTCTCTAGTCCAGCAGAACTCCAACTATTCACCTTTTTCGTGCATGAGCTTTAAGCAGTCACATCCAAAAAGCATAGTTAATTCCATGCTTGAAATAACTGTCAAGAAAAAAGGGCCTGCAGATGTAAATTCTGCTTGGATTGACCCTGCAAATCTCTTCAAGAGATTTCCACATTCTGGACAGGAGCTATATTTATTATGAGCACCATGACATACATTTCACAGCCAAGGCAGAACCATTTTTCACAATCTTTTGTTCACAGTCATTAAATCATTTTTTCAGTTCCTGTGACAACATCCAAACTAACATGAATAGAGATCTTTTAAAATGCCTGAAATGACATGTCGATGTTTTAAGTCAAACGCCAACTGACAATCTTCTGACATTCCTCAGAAAAATTAGTTCTCCTTCCTCAGCCTCTAGTAGGCAAAATAGTATTAACAACATGTTCTATTTTTAATAAGTTGACCTAAAGCGATATGAAGAGTAGGATAATTTTCAAGTTTCACTCTTACCTGAGGATCACATTAAAAAAAAAAAAGGGATAAAAAGAAAAGAATTACAAGAGGAATTGTCTTAGAAAGATTTATGCCAATAAAAATGAGAAACTCCAACGCAATGTTCTCAATTGTACTTTAAAAAAATAAAATACATGCTTTCTGTCAAAAATAGACAAAAATTTCCAGAAAATATACACAGAAGTAACTAGGAAGTTTTTCTACCTTTTTTCCTAAGTTTTAAAACTAGGAAATAATAACAATGCTATGAGTTACATTACAGTTTATTTAGTCTGATTCAAATAATCTACATAATTACTAGAAAACGGTGGTGTAAACACAAGTGTCCAAACAGAACCTGTGTTCTCAGTGTTACTAACAAGTCCAGATGTTAGGCATAGCTCAGCAACTTACCGCTTTGTGAGCTCAGTTAATTCATAAGAACCACTCATATTAAAATAAAAAATGGTCTTAAATTCCACTGAATTATTCTTATTTGTTTTTTAAATAAAGGGCAAATTCCTTATTTGGCTAAGTCTCTGTATTCCAAGCTCTCCTCGAGAGATAGTTTCTAAATACGTGTAGATCTAGCACATGGCCTGTCACTGCAGTGCTTAAATATCATCTTATCTGAAAAAGCTATAGCTGGCACAGTATGAATTTCACGTGGCTTTAAATAAAAAGTTTGTTTCATGAAACATCTCTCTATATTTTGTTCTCACAAATTTATTATTTTTATTACACACTAGTCCAGTGCTTTGGTATTCACTCAACATACGCAAGAACTTCAGTTCTCTCCTCTGCCTGCATGGATTTAAACTCTTATCATTCAACCTGTCTTCTGTTGTAATTTGGGTGGAATGCAGAAGTGTTCATTCACCTAAGGGGGTGGAAGAAAAAAAAAAGGGAAATTGTCGCCCAGGATTCGAACTTTCCTTGGATGAGGTAAGTCAGGGTTTCCCACCTCATGCTCCAGTGAGTTTGGGGCAGAACAAACAGGCTACAGTGTGGAAGACTGCTAATGGAAAAGCTATTACTCGTATGTGGAAGAAAAGTAACTGGATTCCACACAGTGCTGCAGAAATTTTAATTTAAAATAAAGACTCCAAAACAGTAGTCATAGAGATGAGACTTGGGCTAATGTGTTGTTTCAGTACAAAGGCAAAACAAAATAATGACACTGGAAATAAGAAACTTGCATGTGAAAAAGTGTTAAAGTGCCTGATTTTTCTTTAACTGTCTTTCAGTCCTAACAAAGATACTTTTTATAACTGAAGACAAATTTACATACTAACTTCAAAACTGTTGAAGATTTAGCCCACATTAAAAATTATGATTCATTTTTTAAAATGACTCAACTGTAGATAAGGAAGACTGAACACTCAGTTGAGACTAGAATTTGGTGTACCATTTCTCCCATAATCAGAAAACACAAACCAGAAGGAAACCTTGCTCAGATCACACACTTTGTCTATGTTTTCTCCCCATCCTCACAGAAAAATCCTTTAAAAGATTTTTTTCTTCAAGAAGAAAAAAAAAAGACAGACTAATAAATCAACTTATATAAAACTCAGCATAAATCAAATGCAATATACACAAAACTGTTTTACAATTTAAAGGGAAATAAGCACTAGAAAACAATGACTGGGTTATAAGTAATTCCCTTATAAATCCAGATATGTTTTTCAATCTCAGCAGAAATTCGTAATAACCTGCATACTTATTGGACTGTAACTGATTTTAACACCTACACTAAGAAGTAGAGTAATAACCACTTCCTACATTTATTTCCCTTTTGTAAACTTTATACAATATGAAAAATATCACAGGCATCCAAAGTCCAGCCACGGTCAAGTCCATAACTTATACATAGAAGCTTCATAGAGATTTTTCTTTACATCTTATTATGATTGAGGAAAAAAAAGGTGCAACCTTAAAAACATACAAATGGCTGCAGGCTCACTGGCCAAGCTGTTTTAATATAGGTCATACCTTGGTTTTGGTTTGTGACTTAAAAGTTGATACAAAGTTCACAAAAGAAACAAACATTTAAAAGTGGGACAAACACTTCTTGTAATAAGAATTTAAAACCTATTGAGGCCTGGAAAAGAGTGGCCGCACTGGGAAGGCAATCACTGTCCAGTGGTCTAAAGGAGACCTCCCCTCATTAGTTCCTACCAATGGTTTGAGTAACATGCCTTCAACTGGAGAATTTGAGTGGCTACACCCTCCAGCAAATCACATTCCAATTTAATTCTGTGATGAACAACTATGGAAAAGCTTATTAGAAACACAGAATTGGCTGATGCTGCCTAAATAAATACGGTGGTAAG